CCAGCAGCGGGTTAAACTATGTTTATAAAAGTGGAGTATTTCCTAATAGCAGTTAGTTAATTTTAACCTTTCAGTCCATGAAAAAAAATAAGAGAATTTTGTTTGCTGTGGCAAAACATCTCAACGTGTATGCTCCTTTTCTATTCTCATGCTTGAGCGAATTAGTCCTATTTTCTGAATTCAGCAAAGTTATTAAAGGCGGATTTTGACTGGCTCGGTTATTACACTAATCTGTTTTGGTAAATAGTGTTATTATACAGCAATGAAGTATCTTAATACACTGCACGTAAATCTGTAACGAGCCTCTATGCATAATGACATCAGTGTACTCCAATGGCCTGCAATATACGTAAAGATGACTGGAAATTAATAATAAACTGGAAATAAGTATATAGGAAAGTATTGCAAACTTATAGCAAGCCATCTGTAAGGAAAGAAGAATTATTTGCTTAAAAATGTATTTTTTTGTAATGCTGGCCCAGTAAATGTTTTTAAACTTTTAGTAAAATATTTAATAAAAAATATATTTATTCTAAGCATTGCTTAATTGGCATAATTTATTGTTGGAGTCAATAAAGGAGTCATTTTCACCTTGTACTAGCCTCCAATACCTATTTTCAGAGAAAATTAAACAGAAATGTCACCCAAACCTGTGATGGAATTATAAACACCCACACATCCAGTCAGTAAACAGTCATTTTAACAATGACAGACATTTACGCTTAGACTGGGTTCATTTATTCTTATTATCGGAGTCATTTTGACCCTGTGCTAGCCTGTTGTAACTATGTTCAGGTGTAATTAAACATAGATATCGCCCAAACCTGACTTGGTAATTGTCAGCCCAGGATGAAATTGACCCCAATTAAAAAAAAAACACATCCCCTTTATGTGAACACAAGCTCCCTGACCCTAATGCCTCCTCTCATTAATCTAATATAGGCCAATAGTTGAATGGCATATGTTAATGTTTCAGGTCAATTCCCTGTCTAGTAATCAAACCGAAACTGTATTCAGAGGCTCGCACGTAACGATCTTCCATGTCAGTGCTTCCAGTTGTATTGTTATCAAAGATCATTGTTATTGTAGGTCGTCGTCTTTGAAAATGAACCGAGGCACTGTTTGACATCTCTACCCAGCGACATTACACGCCACCACAAACCATCTGACAATCCCGGTATTGTTCCAGGTCTCAGCAAACACATGTAATGTGTAGCGCTCATCTGAAGATACCATGAACATTTTAAATAAACATCCGGATCCCATGATCCTCATCTGCTGGTGTAGCCACACACCAGCCACAATGGCGTTTAGCTTGGGGCTGTAATGTGTGTGGGAAGAAAGGGGGGCGACTTTTTATGAGAGTTCCTCTTATTGATCTCTATAAAAAGGATTGTCATCGATTCATATGAGGGGGCGTTTAACTGTTCACTATGAAAAAACAGTTCACTAAAAGAAGAGGGTTAGATGGAGGTCAGGGAAAAATACTAATATTGCCGCATGTCAAACCTCTATGCTTTCAATTGATTCATTTGTAGGAGTACCACCACAAAGCAAGTACCCTCTGACCCCATTATTAGCAATCAGATCATGTGCTAAGCTGAAGATACTGTATTGGTAAAGGGTATTATCTAAGTAAATATTTAAATTTATGCTCATTTGTAATAAAGCCCTTCCATCAGGCCGGGATTACCATTAATGGACACTGTACATAACTTTAGGTTACCATCACTGGACCCTAGGCACACAACCTTAGGTCACCATCACTGGACCCTGCTGGCACACAACCTTAGGTTACCACCACTGGACCCTGTGGACACACAACTTTAGGTTACTATCACTGGACTAGACATACTACCTTACATTTCTATCACTGGACCATAGGCACAAAACCATAGGTTACCATAACTGGACCCTGTAGGGATACTACCTTAGGTTACCATCAGTGGACCCTGTGGACACACAACCTTGTTACCATCACTGGACTAGACATACTACCTTAAGTTACTATCACTGGACCATAGGCACAAAACCTTAGGTTACCATCACTGGACCCTGTAGGCATACTACCTTAGGTTACCATCACTGGACCTTTTAGGTTACTATCACTGGACTAGACATACTACCTTACATTTCTATCACTGGACCATAGGCACAAAACCATAGGTTACCATAACTGGACCCTGTAGGGATACTACCTTAGGTTACCATCAGTGGACCCTGTGGACACACAACCTTGTTACCATCACTGGACTAGACATACTACCTTAAGTTACTATCACTGGACCATAGGCACAAAACCTTAGGTTACCATCACTGGACCCTGTAGGCATACTACCTTAGGTTACCATCACTGGACCCTGTAGGCATACTACCTTAGGTTACCATCACTGGACCCTGTGGACACACAACCTTGTTGCCATCACTGGACTAGACATACTACCTTAAGTTACTATCACTGGACCCTGTAGGTACACAACCTTAGGTTGCCAAAGTAACACCCTTCTGCTTTGATTACTTCTTGACGTTTTTGTTTTATCAGTAAGACTGTTGTGACAAGCTCAATCCACAAAGCTAACACACTAGGATAAAAAAGTGACAGTTATTTATAGTGGAGTCCAATGAGAACTGGAAATGACAGTAACATGGCTAAAATAAGCCTCCTCTTCCATATGTTAAAGTCTAGTGTATTTTAAACAGGATATTTTTAAACAACTGTTTTTCTGCCGTTAATAAGAAAAATGTGTGGCCAATACCTATCCAGGAAAAGATCGTCTCTTAACCTCTCCCCCCTATAGGCACAGGCCTACTGTGCCTAAAGGTCAATGTAGCCCTGTCTGCCATGCTGTGCTGGAATGGACTGCTTTGCCCAAATATGCCTTGATGCAATAACTGGAGCTGAGATCATTACTCATATCCTCCAGGAACAGGCCTATATGTGAGAAGCAAAGATCTGATGAGTAACATGCACGTATAAGACAGCTTGAATCAAGCTTAACCCTCTGGCTGCCAGAAAGCATTGAAGGTTTAGAAGAATTCAGAAAAGTGAGCAGATCTTCTACAAAATACTATGTATATGTGAGGGTCAGGAATGCATAGAGAATCACGGTGGGGTATTGATATCAGAGCATGCAGAGCAGTCAGCTTTCATTAGCCAGATGAAAGAGGCAGTAATTGCCCTACATGAAATCAGAGAGCTGCGCTACAGATACAGATCGCTATGGCACCGCACCATAGACAATCGACTTACTTGGTGGAGGGGAATATCTGCCTCCTTCCTTAGCCCAGCCTGTTCCATCTTCAGAGTTCTCCGATTTCACAGAAGAAGTCTCCACGTTTTTGGTCAGCCCGGGGGGACTGGGGCTCTCTCTGCTCCCGACCCCCAAAGCTAGGTGTCTTGGGGTGCTGTTGGCCCCAGAAGTCTCCAAGCCACGTAGATGTGACACCTCCTTAGGCACCCTCTTATCAGCCATGAGCGCTTCCACGCTGAAAGGCAGGCTAGAAATCTTGAGCTTGTGCTCGGCGTCAGATGGGGAATGCACGGGACGAATGGAGCCTTCTTCATCGGAGCTGAAATCCTCCTTGATGTTCCTAGGAGAAGACATGATGAAGAATATGGGAAAGCTCGGGCGAATCCTCCCCTTTCCTTGGCCAGTTTCCTGGGATGAAGGTAGCCCAGCTCTGTGACTCCGCTCTGCTTTGAGAGCTCCCACTCCACGGGCACACACACTTCAAGGCAACTCAAGAAACTTCGCCTTTCCTCTATTGAAGATCAAGGTTTCTCTGACAGCCAACAGGAACGGCGAAGGCTGCGTGACGTCACCGGCGCTGAGCGCTGATTGGCCGGGGCGCTCTGCTTGATGGCAGTGATTTTCGAACTGTTTTTGTTACAAAGAAGAAGAAGAAAAAGAAGGAGAAGAAGAGGAGGGAGTTAATTACATAGGCTGCAAACTGCGCTGTGTTATTAGTGATACCTGTAGGGCTGTAATCACAAGAAACTGAAAAGTCACTTGGGTAATTAAGTTTGATTATATGAAGAGGAAGCTCATATAACCAATTTTCTCTTTCTAGTCTCCGCTTTAAAGAGCTCTTTCTTTGTAATGTCTTCATGTGTCTACATGTAAACATTTTTTAAGTATCATCTTGGCGTTTAAGTGACAGAGATACATTTGCTATCTGACTACAAGGTAGCCAATTGCCCCCGGTGCCTTTGAAGTCACTGGCCTGTCGGGCGACCGTGAGATCTCCCTAAAGACTCAATAAAATCGCATTTTGTATGTCAATCAGCAATATGTAATTAGCCTAGAATTCACACATCCCTTATTTTCTAAACGTTCTATAAAGTAGATGGAAAGCCTTACAGGATGTCATCTCAATCTGCTCAAACACTATAGGGAATTGATCAAAACTAGAGCAGTTGTTCATAGTAACCAATCAGCTTCTCTTTTCGGTTTGGTTAACCTGATTGGTTGCCATGAGCAATTGTCCCGGACCTTAGTAACATAGTAGGTGAGGTTGAATAAAGACCAAGGACCATCCACTTCAACCTATGTGTGTGTGTTTGTATAGATGTGTATTTAACACTTCCCATATCCTGGCATAATGTATCTTGTCTGCATCAGTTTTTATAAATCCATCTCAATGTATCAAACACTCCCCCTTTTTAAAATGTAAAATACTTGTTTTCCCTTTTTCATCATGTGCTGTATCTGAATGCTGCTGATCTCTTACAATATCTTGTAGTCACTTCTTGTATAAATGCATGCACTCCAGGGATTGCTGCATGACATTTCTTAGGGCATGTTTCCTAAGGGTGACAACAGGGGAGACGTAACAGAAGCTCATTTGGGAGAGAAGGGCAGATCGTTGTCACCCTGTAGCAGGTAGTGCTTGAACGAGGACCTCCATGACAAGATCCCCAGGTATGTACTCCAGGGATGGCTGCATGACATTTCTTCGGGCAAGTTTCCTAAGGGTGACAACAGGGGACCAACCCTGCCAGTTCAGAAACGTAAGTAACAGGGAAACATAACAGAAGCTCATTTGGGGGAGAAGGGCAGATCGTTGTCACCCTGTAACAGATAGTGCTTGAACAAGGACCTCCATGACAGGATCACCAGGTATTGTTTTAATTGAAGTTGCAGATTTTAAAACATATAAGTCATACAAAAATGACTTTTGAAATGACATTAACAGAAAGAGAGAGAGAGAGAAAGAGAGAGAAAGAGAGATATATGGAGAGAGAGAGGGAGAGAAGGAGAGAGAGATAGATACATATTATAAATACACTTACTTTAATTTGATGTTTTAAATGACAGAGAGAGAGAGAGAGAGAGAGAGAGAGAGAGAGAGAGAGAGAGAGAGATTAATAGCTGTTAGCCCCATTTTTGGATTGATGTATAAAAATTGTCAGAACCTCGCCAGTGAATACTTGAAATAAAATGTGCAATTGTAATGACAGACTTTTCCCTTCACATTCATGATGCCTCATCGATTGTTCCATAGATTACCACTAACTGCACCTTTAGCCTCCCCTAGATTAAACTGGCTGATATCTCAAAAATTGTCTGTACAGCAATGCCAGATTTTTAAAATTCTGTACTTCAATATATTGGTAATAATTATTATCCAGAAAGTCGTGTATTTTAGGTTCCCTGGTCCATTTAAGTAATTTCTTTAAAAAGTATTCCACAACCGAAGCATTAGAGAATAACTATGAACTAAAGCAGCCCTATGACAGTGTATACACTGGCCAATTAAAGCAGGGGCCACAAAGTCTCTGCATAGAGTAAAATATCCCTATCTGTTCTATCTGAAAACAGTCTGAAAAATAATTGTTGTTTTCACATGATTAATGGATTCCATAATTATCCTACAATTATAATATCCCTTAATCGTTCTCTGGAACAGCTACACTAATATGTTACCATACCCTAAAATCCAGCCTTGCAATTAATTACAGGATAATAGCCCACTGCTATCGAGCGATGCTGTCAGCTCAAGTTTTGATTTCAGAACAGGCACCCTGGTTAGTGTACCTGGGATTCTTCTACCTCTATATTGACAAATTCAAACACATTTAGTACTGAAGAATTACTATAGCACCGAAAATTCACACTGGATTTATTGTTGTGGATTACTTTATAGAAAGTCCCCTCATTTCTCTCTCCATATGTATATAAAACACAGACCTATAATAATCTTATTAAACTATTATTCAATAATAAAGTATGCATAGCCTTCACCTAGCAACACAGTGTGTGTGTGTGTATGTGTTTATAAATAAATAAATAAATATATATTTATGATATATTCATTTATATATCTTTAAAAATCATAGTAAAGGACCTTATGCCCAGCTGACAAAGTTAACACATTAGGTGGATAAGGATCATTATTTTAAAAAAACAAAAAGAATAACAGTTCTTTTGATCTCAGTCGGATGAGATTTAAAAAAAATACACTCATTTGGCTAAAATAAAAGTCCAATTCTTTAAAAATTGAGCCTGTTATCAGTTATCGATTGAACATAATATGGAAGAATGATTTTTTAAGTTAATACTGTAAACTGTCAGTAAATTCTAGAAGTACATTTCAGTAAGGCGGTTTACGTATACAGGCCGCTTATATAGTAGGGCTGAATTATTCTAAAAATTAAGCGTTTTAACCAATGTAATGATTATCAGAGATATTTACTCAGCCAGCTATTGAGCAAATACATAATGATGATGACACACCTCTCGGTAATCATAAAAAGTGTACTCTTACACCCTTATTAGTCTGTAAAATATCTCGGTTCGACAATTGGAACATTAATAATCGGTGATTATGTTACTCTCTGAAGTAGGTCATGACGTGTCCCAGTGGAGGGACTGTCATCCAGAGCCGACTATGTATCACTTAATACAGCACTATGCCCCTTAGCAGTCTCTGTGTTCGTGCTATGACCATGACATTGATTTATTAGATTACTAGGGGGCACAAAAGGCTGATATTTGGTCAGCCAACAGTCTGCTGGAATGCCACCCTTCATGGAGATGGAGGCCTTCATTGTAAAAGCTGATATACAATATATATGTTGTATATCAGCATTTATATAATGCAGCACATACAATGACATGATTGAACCTATTACATGTACTGTATGAACTTTGTAGTGATGCTCTGGGCTATCCAGTCGAGGGGTACACATGAACTTGAAAGGACATTTGAGAGTCCTCTGATCAGCAGATCCTGGACTCTTATAGCATTTGCCTTCCTTTCACATGCAAACATTTATTTGTACAAATGCCGCGATGCATTCAAATGCCTGATCCATCCTCCGCTATAATCATAGCATTTTCATTTTCAGTGGACTTACAGTGATTCACGTTCTAATTTCATGTTGTCATCAATGTATTTTCTATGATTTGTACACTTCATTGTGCAAATGGAAATGTAAGATTCCACGTATATATTCCTATGTGTGTTAAATAAGAGTCACCCATCAGGATGGCTGCAGTGACCGGGGTGACAGTGACGTTCGGCCAGGCTATCTCCAGACGATGGAGGGCTCTGAGACTCCTGTGTCTTCACCTCGCACCGGTCTGTGTTGGCATCAGTCATCCCCAGACAGATGTAAAGAAATGGCAGGTACTTTAGCCCTGGGATTTCCAGGAGCCAAGGTCCTCCAGCCAGATAGCCCTCACTCCAAGAGAAGAGCCAGGGGTCAGAGCTAGGAGGGGAAGAGTAAAGTGTTCCTATCAGCTAATGATTGCTCCCTTGGCCCCAGCACCAATTACACACTCAGGGCTCGGATTTTTCTCTTCCTCTGCCCAGCTCTCCAGCAGCAGCCGATGAGTGGAGATTGGGGAGATGTGTTTTGTCCGTGGGAAGCCCGGGCGGTGGGAGGGGAGGGGGTCTGTGGCTTTTGAGGGGGAGGCAGCAGACGAAATGAGGCTATTTGCAGGCGCCAGGAGCGGCGAGATGAAAGGGAAACTCCTGGGGGAAGCGGCTGTTCAGTTTGACCGGCTCCAGCAGCCTGTGCAGCGGCAGCCTGTCCCTGACAGTCCCGCCCCGGTCCCCAGGGCCTATCAGGAGGTGGGCCCCCCGGCCCCGCCCCCTCCCACAGCCTGAGCTGAGACGCAGGGGAAAGCCGAGCTGCCCATCTACTAATAGTATTAGCGCTCATTCATCATCATAGGCGAGCAATCGTGCCAGCGGATTAACCCCTAATGTCAAGCTCCCGACCCTACAACTTCCTTCTCTTCACCGTTGTTATACCTGAGCTTCCCTGGACCCAGTACATGACATCCTAGCTGTACTCAGAGCTGTGTGCAAGCTCGGAGCGATCGTCTGCCGTCTGCCCCGAGCTTACTCTCTACTGTGCGCCCCGTAGAGATCGATGGGGGTCTATTGATTAATGTTTTCGCCCACCTTTCACCCATAATTCACTTTTCATAATGGAATGATATGTGAGAAATGAGTGAATCTGCTGAGCTTACATTCTCCTGTGTGTATAAGAGATCGATGGAACAACCTCATGCAGCAATGATGTGTGGTGAATTATATAGGATAAGGGGTCCATTTATCAATGTTTTAATTTAATGATCTGCCCAATTTTCACCCATGATTCACATACCTTTCCTAATAGAATGTTATGTTAAAAATGAACGAATCTGCCAAGCTCAGACTCTGCTATTTGCTTCTGCATAAGAGATCAGTGGAACAACCTCATGCAGCAATGATAT